AACTTCAAAGCCTGGCTGTAAAGTCTCAGATGTAATGACTATTTGTCCAAAGGAGAAACACATCAGCTTGATCAATGAATTAAAGTTATAAAACACAGAGGTTACATTTGCTCGGCACTTGTGAAAAAACACATGGCTGTGCTTGGGTGTGGGGCAAACTGTTACCGAGTTATTGGGGAGAGGCTGGTGCTGCTGGGCTTTCTGTCCCCATGGTCCCTCTGTCCTTGGGCACAAGATGGAGCTCGTTTTGTCACTGAGGTTTCTCTGCAGCACTGCTAAGCTCTAGCAGCCAAATGCCATGGGACCTGGGCAGCAGCGCTGGCACAGCTATGTGAGGATGCTCAGGGATATCAAAGAAATGTGGTAAGATCCCTAGATCCCTCATTTTTCCCACATTTTCCATTTTTCTACCAAATAGTCCATGAAAATCTCCTGGGCACCCTGCTCTGGGTGTCCCTGCTGGGGCAGGGCTCGGCCAGGTAGCCTGCAAATGTCCCTTCCCCATGAAAAAGGACCAGAGTCCAAATCTCTTTTTGCTTCCGTAACTTCACATCAGGAACCTGAAGGGAAGAACACTTCTATTATTTGAGTTTTATCAACTATTTTCCTAAAGATGACCACTCCACGACCCCTTCTAGAAAACACTCCTCCTTTCCTTGTTGTAGCTGATGTGAAGAGCCCAGACCTGTCCCATTCCCATGCAATGGCTGCATGGGTCTTGTCTGGGAGGTTTGCCTGTAGGAACAAGGCCTGGCTGGCTCTGTGCTGGCAGTCTCCCTAGAAGAAGCAAGCAGAACCCTGCCATGAGCACCACTTCTCCCTCCTGGGCAACAGGGCCGGGCAAGTGGAACACGCTGCAGCTCTGCCTGGGGAAGGAGAGGAGGAAGTGCCGGAGTATGAAAGGAGGGTTTGTCTGAAAGCTGCCTAACATCTTTTGCCAACAGCTTGTTTGCACCAGCTCTGGGCGAACACGACCAGGAGAGCTGTGTTGTTCTTGTACAGGAGCTGGGTTCAGCTGGAGCAAACTTCACCTGGCCCTGCTCTGCTTGGCCTCCAGAAGGTGAGTTACCAAGAGGCCTCCTCCATGCCATCCCTTCACCCCATCAGTGTGCCCAGGGAACAAGTGGTGGGACTGGCCATGAGGGGCTGGAGAGGGCACCCTCCTTCTTGTCCTCAGTCCTCAGGAGACCCGGGGATGTCACCACACCTGGGCTTGTACGTGTATTCAATCTGCTCTTAGCAAAGGGGTCAGTGACAGCTGTCCCCTTTCAGTGCTCCAAGTCCCACTTTTCATCTCCAGTGGGTCAAGTCCTGGGCTTTGGAGCAAACTAGGAGCAGTGACATGTTGTGTTATACAGTCAAAAAGCAATGGTCACTCTCTGGTTCAGTATGAGGCCTCACCTCGAGTACTGTGTTCAGTTTTGGCACTCAGCACAGAAAAGACATGGAGGTGCTGGAGCAGGTCCAAAGAAGGGCGACAAGGCTTGTGAAGGGCTTGGAGAATATGGCCTATGAGGAAGGCATATTTTGGGGAGAAGGAGGCTGAGGGGAAACCTTATTGCTCTCTTCCAATATCTGAAAGGTGTTACAGCAAGAACGGGTTGGTCTCTTCTCACTGGTGGCAGGTGGCAGGATGAGAGGAAATGGCAGTAAGTTGTGCCAGGGGAGGTTCAGGCTGGATATCAGGAAGCACTTCTTTACAGAAAGGGTTGTGAAGCACTGGCATAGGCTGCCCAGGGAGGTGGTTGAGTCACCATCCCTGGATGTGTTTAAAAACCGTTTGGATGTGGTGCTCAGGGACATGATTTAGCAGAGGGTTGTTAGAGTTAGGGTAGGACGGTTAGGTTGTGGTTGGACTTGATGACCTTTCAGGTCTTTTCCAACCTGAGCAATTGTATGACTCTGTGATTCTATTTGTAAACAGAGGCCTGACAGACGCTTTGGGTGGGAGGCGTGAGATTTATCAGGAAAAAGCAAGAGGAAAGCAAGAACCTTGAAGGCTTATGATCTGGCTGTGCAGCTGCAGTGATAGAGTGAACTCAAGATCAAAGGCAACGCACTGTTGCTCTCCACACCTCGCCTAGACCAGGGATTAGACCCAGTATTAGTTATCAGGCAGTATAAAAAGCACAAACATGCCCTTTGCTCTTTGGAATATACGGAACCCAGAAGGATGCCAGATTTGACTTAGGAAAGCACATTTGCATGTGTTGGTTTCTTCAGCCCTGCACCATTCCTCAGAACCCTCTGCTGCTCTGGGTGGAGACAGAGCAGGGCTTCAGACTACTGCTGCTGCAGGAGTGTAATTGCAATTGCTGCTTGGTGCTTCTGCTAATCTCTGAGACCTGCAGCAAGCAGTCAAAGTGCAAACTGGGAGTGTTTTGGGGCAGGGATGCACTGCATAAAACAACCCCACAGAACTGGAAAAAACCCACGTGAAACCTTTTGGTGCTTGCATTTCACTGAAGGAAAGGAGGCCAGACTGAAGCCCAGGCTTCTCACTTGGATTTCGGCTGCTTGGAGAGAATCTCCAATACCCGGTTTTGCAGCAGGGTTTGCCCAGTGTGCTGAAGTCTCAGTGTGGTTCAGCTCTCAGCCCAGTCTCTGACCAGAATTGTGCCATCATTCTACAAAACCCATTAGCTCACCTTCTGTGTCCAAAGGGGTTTTTGGCTTCTGGGGCCGCAATAGGAAGGTGGCAGCAGTGAAAACCCGTGTCAGCCTCTGCAACAACCATGCTTCAGCACAGGCTGCCTCTAAAAGCCACGTACTGCAGAACAGATGGTACATCTGTTTCTATTTCCAGTATGATCTCACTAATCACTTTTTAAGAATCTAGCATTCAGAGCTAATCAACATGAGCTGAATTGCAGTAAATGTTCCTACAACAATGGAAAACCCTTTGCAACTGCCTTTCCCTAGGTTATCCCCTCAGGAAGCAGAGTTTATCCTCTGCCTGAATTTGGCCAGAAGCCCCATGATCCCTGCAAAGCCAGGGCCTCTCCCTGAAGAGCTTCTGCCTCATCTAGGTACTTGTCTGTTTGACAAAGTAGAGCTGACTTTCCAGTTCAGTAGTCAAACCAACAGCTAAACGCTCACTTTATGGGTCAACCCCAACTCCTCACAGGGATGGAGGGGAGAATCCCCATGGAGACCTTGCCATGAGCACAAGGCTTATGAAGAAAAGCCATCGTCCTCTATAATCTGCGATGTACAGCATAAGCTCAAAGTTCAAAACCCTCCTGTTTGTCATACAGAACAAGATTTTTAAAGAAGACTCCTGGAAGCAGTATCATGTCCAGCATGCCAGGCAGCCCAGAGGCACATCAGATAGCTGAACTCCCCAGGTGACTCAAGGATCCTTGCCCCAGATGTCCCCATTGTGATGGATGTGCCTGGGCTGTCCTCTGGAGATGGATAAGTGCAGGAGCATTGCTCTGGGCATAGCTACTCCCAGGACAGCTTTCAAGGGCCCATGGGCAATCTCTGCCTCCCTGCCAGATGGTGTTCCTCCAGCATGCCCCACTGGGCTGTCCATCTATCCACCAGCTCTCCTCAATGCTTACATGCCTCAGCCCAGGGCATGCAGCACCCTGACCTTGTCACACTGCAGAAACCCAACACTGGTGAGTTATGGCATTGCTGTCATTATTTCAGGCATTAGGACCTAAGAAAAAGAAATAAACAAACAAACAAACAAACAAAAAACCTAGACCCTAAAAAAATCTATTTCTTTCCTAGGTCCACAAGCACAACCCACAAGACCAAGCAAGACCTGAGATGTAACACATGGCAGAGAAATCCTTGCTCTGGCTGAAGTGTTCTCAATTCCCTTCCCAACATGACTTGTCATTGATGTTTCGATGCCCTTGCTCTCAGGACACGACTCTTTATGACTCCGTTAGGTTATTACATTCACTGTCTGTCTGATTTTAAACAGGGACAGGTACCAACGCAGCAATGCTAACTTTTATTTTCAAGACACGGCAATGGGTCTCAATGGTGCTTTGCCACATGTCCTGAGAACACATTTCTTTGTCCCATTTTTTTTGCTGCCTCCATCAGCATCCATTGCTGGGGTCACACAAAGCACAACAGAGCTGTTACAAGCCTTAAAATGGCAACCTCAGCATTTGTAGAGTAACCACTGACTGCAGGGGGTGGTAGGCGTGCATTTGCAGCTGTGTTCCTTTTAAAGCTGATTTATTTTAACGAGAATTTCACGGCACGCAGCTGGCAGCAGCCGATAGACACGGCAGTTTCCAGTTGCTCTGCTTTGGAGAAGTCTGAGGTACTCAGGGCCTTCTTTGTCCTCATCTTTCCAATGAGACCAGGAATCTGGAATCTCAGCGTCCTGGGCAAGTCTGGAATAAGACTTACCCTGCTGGTGGGACCTGACGGGAGGTACCCATGAGTGTAGGGAGGGAGCTGGCCAATGTTACTGAGGAAGTATAGACTAGATATGTAAACAGTGAGGTGGATGTGCAGAACTCCAGGCTCAAAGGATTGTGACCAACTGCATGAAGTCCTGGTGGAGGCCAGGCACTGACAAAGTGCTACAGAGTCAGTACTGGGTCCAGCACATTTAACATCACTGATTTCCTGGAAGATAAGGCAGCATGCCCTCAGTGAGTTCGCAAGGATACAAAACAGGGAGGGGCAGTCTGCAGAGCAGGACCTGGGGTCCTGGTGGACACCAAGCCAGCAATGTACACTTATTATGTAGAAGACCAACGGCCTCCTGGTCTGCATTGGGAAGAGCATCACCAGCAGATGAAGGGAGGTGATTCTTCCCATCTACTCAGCACTAGCAAAAAACATCTGGGGTGTTGCGTCCAGATTTGGGCTCCCTAAAACAAGAGGGGCTTTGATATATTGAAGTGAGCTCCTTCAAGAGTCACAGTTAAGGGATTGAATCAGCTGACACGAGAGGCTGAGAGTGCTGGAATTACTGACCCTGGAGAAAGCTCAGGATCTTATCACAGCGTCTAAATCAATGTGTTTAACTACTTGATATTGAGATTCAGAAAAGAAGACTCTTCTAGGTAGTGCCCAGCTCAGGACAAGAGACAGTGGACACCAACTGAGTAACTCTTTTACTATGAGGGTGGTTGAGTGCTGGAAGAAGTTCCCTTCAGAGGTTGTGGAGCTCCTATCCTTGGAGGCACCAGACCTGACTGGACGTGATCCCACACATTCTGCTCTGGGTGTCTTTGCTTGAGCTTGGGCTAGATGCTTTCCAGAGATGCCTTCCATCTTCAACCATTCTGTGAAATATGTTTAATTCTCCAGCATACAGCAATGTTACTTCAAAGTATTTCAACATTTTTACCTCATTACAAGAAAATTGGCTTTAAAGCCCAATAGCACAATGAATCTTTGTCAAACCTGTGGGGCCAGAGTTCCGAAAGCTCCGAGCTTGAACAATCTAACAAACTAAGGTACAAAATGCACCACGTGACTCAGATGTTCCTACTGCAACAACCATGCAATCAAAAGCTTCTCAAACATAGCCCTTTGTTGGCAGGACAGCGTGGAGCCAAGTTGCTGTGATTCAAGTTTTAGAAGAGACTTTGTAAAATGTCAGGAGTTACCCAGTGCCATCCAGTGTTGGTAGCTAGAAGAAGAAAGGATAAGCATGGTTACAAATGGGTGTAGCCCAGTGGAACAGGAAAACAGAAAAATCCCAGTTCTTCCTTTCTGTATCAGGGGGTCAGTGATGGCACAGAAGATGTGCAGCACCGAGGTCTGTGAGGCAGCTGTTCCTCAGCAGAGATGTGCCTTAGTTGTCTTGTTAAAAAAAATCTTTCACCTTTTACAATCACTTTTCAAACCATGTAATCAGTTTGAGAGAGATGTAGATGGCCCCTTTTGTCATGAGGCTCATGCCTGTAACATCAGTCTAGAGAGAAAGTCGTGCTGATTATTCTGGTTAGATGTTCAGGAATTTAGATTAGAAAAAAAATATGTAGGAGTTGTCTCCTTCCTGAGATAAGTATAGTTAAAACATTACCTTTTCTCCTCCTTTATCTCAGATATTGCATTTGACCTGCCTTTTCCTTGAAGCCTTTTAAATTTCACAAGATCCCATGCATATCAGACAAGGAAACACTCTCCCAGTCATGGTCTTTTGATAACTGAGTAACTGTACTTAGGATTTGTCCTTCAGAAGACTGCATGAAACTCAGTCAGCACCATGGTCCCACTTAACAGAGAAGGAAACTGAGGCACAGGCCCCGATCTCCCCAGTACAGCAGAGAGCTGGGCTCTGTCTGGGGGGCATGGAGAGAAGCTGGATCTCACAGCCCAAGTGAGAAATAGGAGAAGGGGAACACGAGGCACTGAGATGCCTCAAACCCACCAGGGTTTGGGTGGTGAGGGGATTCCAGGGTCATGATTTCATCTGTGGTGTGCATGGCAGAGAAACCCTCTTTCAGTCACTTCTAGTACTTCAGACTCACTTCCTCTGCCCTGAAGCACTCTGATTTCCCACAGAAAAGAAGACAGCAGCAATTTGAGCAGTTCTCTGCCAATTCTTTATTTTACCCCCTAGAAGACAAAAGGAAGACAGCAATGGGAGTACAACTCAGATTAACACATCACGAAGAGTAAAATGAATGGCACTTGTTCTCCAAAAGACCACATTGCACTGTGTGTCTGGAGGGCTCCTCACATTTTTCTTTTCTCCTCCACCCACACACCTCTGCAGCGGATCCTTGCTGCCTGCTGCCAACAGCCCACCTTCCTACCTTACCTTCTCCTGAGCTCCTGGAGATGGGCCAGGCGGTGTGGCTGCAGCTCACGTGCTGAGAAATCCTGTCCTGGAGCCAACATGCTTTTTCTTTTCTGGACAGTCCCAAGAACCTGGGAACTGATTGGCCCTGAGTGCCTGCAGGAAGACCCCTGGCTCATTAATAATATCTGCACGCTTCACTGGGGCCATGCACCGCCTAGGTGCTCTCCACAGCTACAAGATGCTCAATCCACCTCACGCAGAGCTTTCAGCTTGAAGCCCAAGGCAGAAAATCACTAATTCCTATGATGACTGCCCAACCTGGGCCTCAGCAATTCTTCAAGAAGAGAATTTTCCATAACAGGGGCCACAGGACAAAGCACAGAAGGAGCTGAGTGGAGAAAGGACACTGGACAAATATAACATTCATGGGAAAATAAACCAACAGTGCATATCCCCCTCATTGAGAAGGTTTATAATGTAAGTTTGCAATGAGCCAGTCCTACTCCAGGGGTTTTAGAGTCTCAACAACCAGGATGAAATAAGAGGAGTGGGAAGGAGGCAAACCTGTGATTCTCTGCATTACGCAGCATAACTCTGCTTTGTTTACAGGTTGGAGACTTTTTTAAACCTATAAATAAACTGGGGATGTTAATGATACCATTAATCTTCGCTGGCCACCGTCCCAGCTATTTTCAATGCTGAGGTTACCTTGCATCCCTCAGCAAACACCAGTCTCCAGGGGAGGACTGGATGCTGTGTACCCAGCCCCGGGCCACTGCTCTCAGCAGGACACTGCTGCGTCCCTGGCTATGCACCAGGACGTGTTCCCAGTACTGGCCCTCCTGGCCACGGGCCTGGAGGAAGCAAAGAAAATACTCAACAGGGAATAAATGACAGGAGAATGCACGATCTCCTTGTCTCCTGCTAGGAAATGCCCTGATGGAGACCCTTGCTTCTCTGGAGGTCTGGCAGCCTGCTCCCCTTCGTCTACCTTTCCAAGGGGAGAAAAGTGACTACATATTGCTCTTCTGCTCTCATACAAAGCTGGTCTGAAATAGCTCAATAATATAGGGACTGCAACACATCCTTGCCTTGTCAGGTATGGTGGGACACAGAAAAAGCTCCATCTCTAACAGCATAGAGCTGCACCACAGGAGGGTCAGTCTTGGTTTAAGGAAAAGGTTCTTTACCGGAGGGTGGCGGGTATGGAAGAGGCTCCTCAGGGCAGTGGGCATGGCCTTAGCTGCTGGATTTTGAGGAGTGTTTGGACAACAGTAGCAAACATAGAATTTGAATTTTGCGTGTTCCTGTCCTCCTGGAGCAAGGAGTTAAGCTGATGGTCCTTGTGGGCCCCTTTCAATTCAGGATATTCTGTGATTCTGATTCTTCTCAATGAGGCGTCAATATGGGATTTGTTGAGGACAGCAACAGCAGGACCATGTCTGCTAGGTATGGTGCTCATGATGCACCAGGGGCTGGTTTGGCTGCAGATGCTAGTCTGGCAGTAGCTGCCATGCTCCCTGGATTCACCTCACAACTGTAATATGCTTTTGTTTATTATTTCTGCTACAATATGTCAGAAATATGAATTCCTAGAAGAGTAAACAAGGATTTCTCTCCTTTTAGAAACAATGTTCACACTTAGTGGAAATAGGTCCCTTTGAAAGCCAAGCCTACAGAGTTTTCCTTTGAACTCCCTGCTTGGATACCCAAGATGGTCAGGGTACAGCCACATGTGGCTAGAGAAACAAATGTTCCTGTACCACCAGATAATGATGCTGGCCACCCTTCTATTTTCTGTAACCTGCCAAGAAGTTGCAACACTCTCTCAGCAGTAGCACAGAGTAGTCATTCACACCCTGGTCCCAAGTGATGTTTGGCTATGGAAGTTATGAGAATTTTCTCTCCTGAAGCACTCAGCATTGTGACGCAGTTTCCTTACATTCTCAGGAAGCACACTGAGTTTTCTCTGTGCTGTTTACTTTGTGCTGTTTACTGTTATTTCCCAATTCCATAATACCTATTGTTGTCTGGATGCCACTTCCTATAAAGTATCCACAAAGGACTATTAGGAGAAGTTTGGATGCTTTTCCTTACCTTACCAATGACATTTCTGGGCCTGTGTCAGCAATTTCTCCGTGGAGATCCATCCCTCCTGACCCGACTTGCAACTCACAAGTAAAGCAACCTGCTCTCCCTCAGGAACTGCAATGAAATTCATTTAACTTATTTGGGTTTTACTGTGCTTCCTTGATGATACACAATGGACAATCTGAAAGCACTGTTAATGCCACAGCTTCCAAGCTATCTAACCTCTTTTGGGGTTCCTAAAGACAGGGAAAACCATATGTAAAGACCAACAGCAATTCATCAGATGAGTTGCTCTCCATATAGAAGATGGCTGCATTAGAGAGTTAGCCATCTACACTCTATTGGGATAAACTGGAGTAACATCAACCTCAGAAAGGGAGTGGGGAAAAAGCCCCTCAAAATCCCAGCTTTTCTCCTCATATTATTCTGTGCCTAATGAAACAGTGTGTCTGGTGAGAAAACAGCTGGCATCAGACACGCAGAGGTCCTCCAGACAGACTCAACTGAACATTCACCTTGACGAAGTAATCAACTTGTCAAGCACAGGAAGTCCTCGCAGCCAGACCGATGATGGAGGGTAACCAATACTCCATCTGCAGCATCAAGCAGTCAAGGATTTGAAATATCACAAGGCAGGAGACCTGAAACGTTAGAGAAGAAAGAGTGTAGACAAGGGGATAGATTAGCAACATGTATAGTCCAGAAAAATGAAAAAGAAAAGCCAGCAATGTTTCACACTGGCCCCAAATGAATAGCAGCCTCATATGAAGTGGTTAAGGCTTGTTGCATATGGTGAAAACACAGGCTAAGCCAAGCAAACAATCTCAGGCTAGTGGCACAGAAGAAATAATCTCTCCAGAGCAAGAAAAGGCATCTGTTTCTTCATCCCAGATATGAAAATGTCCATGCCCAATGTGAGCAGTGCTGAGTGCTCTGTGGGCAGGTGACACCATCTCCCAGCTCCTGAGGGGGACAGACAGCCACTGCCCCGGTGTGTGATGCCTGCAGGCAGTCTGACTGAACCCCAGAACAGGGGTTGGATGCTCCTGCTCCTGCAGATCCCAGTGCTACACAGGAGGGCCACTGGCAGTGGTAGTGTCAGGAGATCTCCCCATGCTCTTTTGAAGCAGCACCTCAACAGAGACGCTTGATTGCATAAAAAAGGCTCTTAAAGCCAGCTAAAATAATTCCTGCCTGTTGACCCATTATTATTGCTTAGAAAAAACACCAAATAAACACAAATCCTAAGAGGGGGAGTTCTCTGCTTAGCATACAGATAACGCAGTGCGATCCAGGGGTAGGAAGGTGCAGCTACAGCAGGGACAGGTGGTGCTGCTAAAGATTATCCAAACGGTGGCCATTTCTTTCCACGTTCCCAAAAGGAGGGAGAGAAGGGCGACAGTGCCTCAGAGGGACAACTGGAGCTGAGCCCCATGCCATGCAAACCACTGCCTGTGCCTGCTGCCTGGAGAGCCAGTGGCTGAGGATCCACACCCTGTCTGGAGAAGACACTTGGGAGACTGAGATGTTATGTACATTGGACATAGAAATGTGAAACTCACTTGTTAACGTTGATAATTAACTATTGTTTGCCTAGGAGAGTGTGCTGAAGCTGTTTATTTGGAAGGCTGCTCCCAAGGCAGCAGGAGCCCATGGCTGCGTTGTGTAGGTCACACCAGACTCACAGATGAAGAAGTTCCTTCTTTGGTCCTAAGTGCTGCTGAAGAGACAGCGGGATTCAAGAAAACTGGAAATGAGCACTGCTACATAAACCCAGCATTTCAGCATACTCTGATGGAACAGAGCTTCCTACCTGCAAGCTGTAGCTAGGTTGGGTTTCTCGCCTGTCCTGGAGGAGATACTGGCCAGTTGTGAGATTCATTCTCTAGTCAGGTCTCTGTAGTAGTATGATTGCTTCCTCTATAACCACTCAGTGGGAACCTGTGCTTTCTCTTCTGTATTCAGCTTTTTTTTCTTTGTTGGATGCAAAAACTTTGACATTCACCTTAATGATGTTTCTTTTTAGTTGCTTCATGTTTCCCTTTGTCAAGCTCTTCCAGCAATATTAACTGCAACTAATGCATTAATTCACAGCTGAACCCTGCCAGTCTCTTAAACCCAGTGCTGCTTTAGATTGCTGGTTTAATTTTTAACCCTCCTAGAATTGCTGCGTTCAAGCTATCCCAATGCACACCACGGTCTGGAGCAGGTTCCTGGTTACACAGCACAACAGCTGTGGGCAGTACACATGAATCAGGCACGCTGGGGGACTCTGCTTCTCCTGCAAGTTATCCACAGGAAACAGTTCACAGCAAAAGTTCATCAGAATCCTGGAAAACAAAGAGTCTTACTAGTTTAGGCATCTGAAAAATGATGCAAATGATGAGCTCACATTTCACTAGCATTGTACACGAGCAATATTAGGCAAATGGACATTTTTCCAGATCCTCTTTTTTGTTTCTCATTTCTGAGCACATCCTTAGAAACAAATGGAGTCCAGAGTTTTAGGTTAGGATCCTTGTTTGATCCTACACCAAACTGGACAGATATGCAGACGCTGCCCTCTCAAGTCCCATGACTACTTACAGAGTCTGCAGGTGTTCACCTGCTGTGAAAGCCAGGATATTTGTATTTTGATAACTCGCAGGTGGTTCAGGCACCCAATTTTCATCAGTTTGATTTTAAGTTCTAAAATTCTGGCCTAGAGGTAGGCAGAAAACTGGAATTTGTTGGCCAGAGCCTGGAAACACACTGGCCATTTGAGTGCCGGAGTTCAGGCTGAAATGAAGGCTCCTCACTTGTCAGAAGGTTTAAAACAAAACAGGAAGTTATTAATATCAGAGGCTGAGCTGACTGGAGAGCCAAACAATATGAAGCAGAACGTGTCTCCCCATTTTCCTGTTTATCTCTTGCTATTTTAGAACTCAGGGGAGATGAAGAGTCACAGTTTCTCCATTACAGTGCGGTGCTACAAGGCAGTGAATTCTGTCCATCATCACAGTACAGATACAGAATCTCCTACAGTCTCTAAAGTTTTTGCCACACTTTGAAATAAATATGCAACTGATTTTAAAATGATGGAGTGGAACACAACAAAATGATGCAGTGCAGCAGCATGCAGGAGTTCAGAGAAAGTGAGCAGTAGTGAAACTACAGGGGAGGGTGATAGCCTGCCTGGATATAATTATCTTAAGAAAACACTGGAACTAACGAACTTTCTCCTGAGGAAAAGCCATGAGATTTTTAATTAACACAGGCATTAGGATGGTTTATCAAAAAAGATAACATTGCTGACAGTGGGAGGAAAGAAAAGATACCGTACGTATTGAGTGACCACTTATGGGACAGAGATGAGCCAAACTTGCAGGCCTTACAGCCAAGCCTCACACAGCACCACTGCAGGTGACACTTCCTAGTGCAGCTTGGCTTTTCTTAAAAAGCACACTGGTGCTAGATAGGCGTCAGCTCCCTCAGAAAGTTTTCCACTCTCTGGGGGAGACTGGGTGTGAAGGTTCATTCACTTGGTCTCTTCCCTCTTGCAGCATTTTTCCCTTATTCAGAGATTGGGGGCTTCTGCTTCCCCCCCCCCCCCTCCCCCCTACCTTTTGCTAAGCCACTCACAGCTGTCTGAGGCAAATTCCTTGAGTCAGACTATCAGCATAGAGCCTTCCTCCTCTCTGACTTATACCAAAGCACTACTGGTGGAGAAAACCTTTACATATTAGAAACAATTTCTTCTCAGGAGTGATGAGGCAGTGGCACAAGCTGCCCCCAGAATCTTTTCTCCTACATGTACCACATAGGGCTATGGAACAAAGGGAGGCTCAGCACACAATTGCAAGGCTCCAGGCAGCAGTGGTCATTGCTGCAGCCATTGCTAGATTCTTCCATCATCCCGATCTTCATCCCTACAATGGAGGGAAGCACAGATAGAGACAATGGGGGCACAGAATGACAAAATGACCATCTCACCAGCTGGAAGGTACAACTTGGTGTCACAGCAGCACAGCTGGTGGGGAGCATAGTGATGGGTGGCTCCTGCCTGAGCTTGTGATGGAGCAGCAGGCGGAGGAGGGCAAATGTAGGAAGGGCGGTTTCAGATGAAGTGGAATTAGGCAAGGCTAATGAGTGGCTACTAGGAAAGGAAAATTAATGGTAGAAAAACAGTTATTAATCATTTTCATGTTTTAAACAAGAAATATGAGAGGCAGGTAAATGAAGACTAGGGAAGTCAAAGTGTCCTACAGAGTATATTAGAGAGCTTTAGGACAGCACCTTAGCTCTCCATACAGCTCCAACCAAACATCACTCTGCATTTAAAAGGCAGCTACTGTAAGTGCTCTGAAGGATTCTCTTTGCTGTCCAAAGCATGCAGTCAAAAGACACCTCAGAGCAGATCCACTCAGGACCTGGCTTTCCCCAGTGCCATATCTGAATGCCTCCCAGACTCTTATGTATGAATCTTGCGTGCCCTAAGGTACAGAAGTGCTTTTCTTAGAGAATAAGGGAAAATGGCTGAAAGCCTACCGAAGGATTAACTGGCAAAGCAGAAACCTGGCTGCAGCTTGTCTAACACCTGAATGTCCTGACACACCCTCTTCTCCCCAAAAATGTGGGAAAAGAAGAAACAAAAGCCAAGCCATAAACCGGTGGTTAAAGTCATTTGCGAGCCTTCACTGCAACCTCCCAGGCAGTGATCACTGCAGATCCTGGCTGGTTTTACTGCTACCACACTACCTTTCCCCTCTCAGGGTTTCTGCTGCATCCCAACACGAGGTGGGAGCTGCCTGGGGCAGAACCTTCCCCATCATTTGCATGTGGCACTTGGTATAATGGGGTCTGAGAGTCACGTTATTTCATGCCACTCGTGTCTGCCTTGTGAAAACTGTGAGTGGCTGACACAAGTGAAATATGCATGAGAGAGTGCCATCTGTGCACACCAGGCAGCTTTCACCTTCTCTTCTTGCTCCAAGATTTTTAACTTTTAGGGAGATTATTTAGGGTGCAGACGATAGTTCTTGGGGGTGACGAGGATCTGGCCAGTGAGTCAAACCGAGCCTAGAAGCCCTGCATGTGGCAGAGGAATTTACAGGAATAAGACCTGGCAGATGAATTGTTTATGCAAACTCTGACATCTCAGCTGCTGCTGTGAAGGATTTATGCAGTAGAGATGTGTGTATTCCTGCTCCACTACTGCCTATTCCTATGTATTTCCTCTCTCCCTGCCTGTCAAGGCTTTGCTTGGGATATATCGATGTACACTGTTCCTGAAGAGTCTTGGGAAATAATCTTGCGGGTAAAGATTTGCTTCAAAGCAGATCTTCAAACATCTGTTTGTACTTACTGCACAAATATTTAGTGCACTGCAGGACAGAGCTGCCTGTAGCTTCAAGGCAAACACAAATGCTAAGAGGTATTAAATGCTCTGCAGTATAAACAAGATAGCCTGGAATAGCTTACTGGCTAGGTGGTAAGGGGAGGGGAAGCCACACAGTGTACTTCAAGCCTAGTCCTTTTCCCAATTTATTCCCATGTGGCATGTTTTATTCCCACTCTCCTGCCAGGTGAATGAGGAGATCACGTGGCTGGCTGGAATCCCTGTATCACCTCCTGGAAGGATCTGCAGTTCTGGTGCATAGCGGGGACAGAAACACAGCACTGATGCTGTAAGGACATGGCATCAACACTCATCTTGATGGGCACAAAGCACCACGAGCAACATCTCAGTATCTCTAATTCACAGTCTTCTGTACGGTCTAACCCCACCTCCTTGGAGATTTCAACTAAAACACAATTTGGAGCAGCTCTGCCCTGTATGTATGTTATCTCCTGCCAACTGCTGCAGGGACAGTCATCAGTGCCAGCAGAGCAGTAATAAACAGCTGGGCTGGTCGCCTTCAGTCACCTCGGCGTGATTTGCTAGAGCTCATATGTCAGAGCCCTAAATCACAGCACAAATGCTGGAAAACAGCCTAAAATGGATACACACAGATCTCAAAACCTGCAAATTCTCTGAAAGCATGCGGCATAGGCCAAAAAGCAGTGCCTTCCCTAGGACAGCTGATGTTGGTTCTCTAATTCAAAAAGCATCAACAGTCACATTGACACCGGTGTCTCTGGAGGTACAGAAACATCGCTGCCAATGACAAGGTACTGCACAGGTAGAAGTTTCTAATGCAGATCGGATTCAGTTCTGCCTTTCTGGAGTTGAAGAGGGCTTTTCTATCACGCTGAGTTAATGCAACCGAGCCAACAGGGATTAGAGCTATGCCCTTTTCTGCCTGTTGAGACACAGTGAAAGAAAGCAGCCACCTTAAATCAAAGGGTCCAGATTCAGGGAGGTGCTCGAGCTAGAAATCAGAAGGCAGTTTACAGATACTTTGATAACTTGAGCTTTTATCATTCCACAGGCCCCGGAGATCAGTTGGTGAGAGCTGAGCGAGTTTCCTCATATGGTATTTGAAGGCAAAGTCAATCCATGTTTGCTTCCCAACAGGCAAGCCCAGACAGCTACAGTGAGTTATAAAAAGGAGAGATTAAATACAAGTTTTGCAGAGCTACTCTCTGAAGAGATACAATCGGTTCTACCATTTGTGCTTAGGAGTCTGAATCAGATGCAGGCAGCTTTGAAGCACCAGTTTTGTCAAGAATATCCCTTACTTTGTCCTATCTTGAAAACTTGAATTGTTTAGCTATTAAATGAGATTAATGTAATCTCTATGTCTATGAAATTGGATTTTGAAATTGCTTGCTCACTGTACTACCGTGAGTGCTGTGAATAAAGCTTCTGCTCCTTCTCATGTTGCTACAAACTATGGGTCACACCTTGTATGGGCCAAGAGCATGTTGGCATCACACAAGGATAAAATGACAATATGAGAGGCCACAGAGCCAGGCTGGAGTCTGGGAGATCATTATGGACATTAGCAATGCATCTCCCAGAGAGAGGAACTCAAAACCCTGGGACTTTCAAGATTTGGCCAGGCAATGCCAAGGCTGACGTGACCTAGAGCCATGATGCTGTGCTGAGAGGAGCCTCAACAAGCTTGCGAACTTCAGAGGTCCCTTCCCACCAACTCTGTTTGGTCATTTTCCTAGTTCAAAGGAGCTGAACGCCGTTAAGCTATGTGGATATGTATCCTTGTACGCTACCTAAGGAGCTGAGATCCCTGCAACAGCATTTAAAAGACACTTCAGAAAAATGTTTTCTGGTTTAGAAACTTTTTTGCTCCAGCATTCAGCCTTGGTTTACTACAGAAAGCTCTGGAAAAAAAATCCCCCAACTTTGCTGGCAGTACCAGATCTCGGGGCATTTCCACATCTTGCAAAA